GCCACGTCAGCAGTGCCACGTCACAGTGCCAGATCAGCAGTGCCACGTCACAGTGACAAGTCACAGTGCTACGTCAGCAGTGCCACGTCACAGTTCCAGATCAGCAGTGCCATGTCAGCAGTGCCAGGTCACATTGCCACGTCAGACATAGTGCCAGGACAACAGTGCCACGTCAGACATAGTGCCACGTCAGCAGTGACATCCGACACAGTGCCACGTCAGCAGTACCACGTCAGACACAGTGCCACGTCAGTAGTGCCACATCAGCAGTGCCATGTAATCAGCAGGCCACGTCAGCAACATGACGGGCCTGCCAGGCCAACTGGCCAATGAGACCATTGCCGCCTACAAGCAGCGTTGCCTGGCTCAGATAGAGGCTGAGGAACAACGCCTGCTGGCAGTCGAGGCTGCCCGCGTACAGGCTGAAGAGGCAGCAGCAGCAGAGAAGCTGCGACTACAGGCCGATGCAGACGCAGACTCCCAGGCTCGCCGCAAGGAAGCCCAGGATCTGCTACAACGGCATGAAGCCACAAGCACCGACAGACTCAAGTTCTGGCACTTTGAACCAAACGGCGACGAGGCAACACCGAAAGAGAAGCACAAGGAGTTCCTCTCTAAACTCGTGACGCGGTTGTTGTATGCTTGCAACTACCAACGATCAGAGTTGGAGAGACAGTACCAGGACCTGACGCAACAGCATCAGGAGTTGGCACAGCTCCGCCGCATGGTGCAGAGCCACGGGGATGCAATCCGGGCACTCAATGCCCGATTGCTGGACCTGGAACAGGCTGTACCAGGACCAACTGCTGGGGCTTCCAGCAGTGCACCCTCGAGCCGCCAACTGGAGGACCGCGTTGACCACGTAGTGGCAATGCTCGGCGAAATCAGCACCTTCGCTGCGCCGACCACCACCATCAGCGGTCAGCTGCATACATTGAAGACCGAGGTCCAGCAGCTGCAGACGACGAACGGGGATGGCAATCCGAAGATGTATAAGATGCCAACCTTCAATCTGGAGAGGTTCGACGACTACACGCAGCAGGATCCGGTCCTCTGGCGGGAAGCATTCACAACGCAACTCAGGATTCTGCCCGTAGCCAAGCATGCGTACATCGGCGCCCTGTTCCTGAACTCAAAGGGCGGATGCCAGACCTGGTTGAGCCACCTGGCAACCTCCCACGGCGTCGATGTACCAGACTTGAAGGACGTAATCACATGGGAGGAACTGACACGGGTGTGGAAGAAGTGGTTCATCGTCGACGACGCGCCGACACTCGCCATCAACCGTTTGTTCATCATGTCACAGGGCAACACAGCAACACGGGACTGGCTCACGGAGTGGCAGAAGATCGCGGTTGTGCCCAATTTGAACTTACCATTCAAGCATCTACGCCGTGAGTTCTACAACAGGTCTTGTGGTGCATTGAGCCAGACTCTTGGTGATCGCGAGCAGTACGCCACCTTCGCCGAGATTATCGACAAGGCGCGAGAGATCATCAAGACCAACAGATCAGCTGCACACGAGAAATCAATATCATGGCAGCCGACCTATGTGGATAAGGTACGAACTGGTCCTCGACAGCAGCACTTCGCTGCAGTCCAGCAGGACAATGGAGATAACCCAGCAACCACTCCAGCATCAAGTGACGGAGATCAGGTGGCCGCTGTCCAGCCGCGAAGCACCAACAAGTCCCGCAACAATGGGAAGGCGAAATCCGCATCGCAGGCCGGAAATGGACAACCAGGACAATTTCCATGGGTCAAGTTTGGYTTGACCGAGGCGGAGTACAAGGTCCGTGGCCGCTACGGCAACTGCTATTGGTGCAACA